ACTGGACCCGAAATGTTAACTCTGCTTTCTCTCCACAGAAGCTGCCAGACCTGCTGAGTTTCTCCAGCAATTTCTGTTTGTGTTTCTGGTTTCCAGCGTCTGCAGTTCTTTGGGTTTCTTTTGAATCATTGGCAAATTAGGTTAAATTTTCCAGGCTATGTGTATGGTTTCCAGAAGATGGTAATGTGATTTTAATGACTGTGTCTCCATAGACCATTCAGATGCTGGAGAGGCTACCTCAAGGACATCTTTGGCAGCAACATGTAATGACAGTTACCTGGGAGCAGTTGCAGAGGAAAGGAAACGCACATCAGGGGAGCTCCGAGATTTATGGAGAAAGGCCATTCTTCAACAGATACTGCTTCTGAGAATGGAAAAAGAAAACCAGAAACTACAAGGTTGGTGGAACTTTGATGATTACACTCCCTAATGCCCTACATCCACAGCCATACCTAACTTCTGTATGGGAAAGCAAGAAAGCCCGTCACAGGTTAAGTATATTATTTTGTTGTTGGGCTGGAGTAGTTTCAATAATTCTCAAAGACTACTGTCTGCAAAACACTTTCACTTTACTGTAGCATATGTGCAGTTCCAAGAACACTCCCTAACACTTGCTTCTGTCCAGGCCGACTCTCCTCGAGTTTCAGATCACAAGTGTAAGTCACTTCCTTCAATATGGGATTTTAGACAGTTACAGTTAATCTTTGATGGGACTTAATCTAACATAGTCTATTCTACTGGTCTAAGATGCAGATGTTTCTTTCGCTTGTTCAAGTGTTAGTTTGGAATCTTTTAGTGGGGTTTCAGGCCAGGTAGTTCACTAACCCAGATATGTGGAGGAACTCTTGCTTCAGGCATGGTGGCCATTGAGCTGTAATAGGGAGTAAAAAATTAATCCTCAAGTTATTATATAGCAAGAGAGAGCATCTTAAAGCAGATTTGTAGCTCTTTTTAAGCTTGTATCTATTCCTTTAAACTCCAGTATTTACTCAGGCCATGAGCACCAGACGAATAAAAACTGAAAGAACTGCGGATGCTGTAAATCGGGAACAAAAACAGAAGTTGCTGGAAAAGCTCAGCAGGTCTGGCAGCATCTGTGAAGAAAGAATCAAAGTTAATGTTTCGGGTCCAGTGACCTTCTTCCTCAGTTCTCAAGTTGTGCGCAGTAGGAAATGTTGGTGAGATGTAATTAGGGAAATTATGTAGTATATATTATTTATAGTGTGTCAAGATGATTGTAGCACATCTAAGATGGTCTCTAGCCAATGTCTACATTTTAAAACTTGATATTTGGATGTAGCACATGTTAAATAGTTCCCATCTGCTCTTATGGGTTTCATTAAATCTGGGCCCAATTTCTCACTGTTACGTTAACTGAGTATTTTCTAAACCTTAAACATGAGAGGTGGAGCTGAATCGATTTGTTTAAGGCATGAATGTTAGACAGCATGTTTAATCAAGAACAGATCTCGGCTACTGATCCTGATGGGAATTTAGGATAAAATCAAAACAAAAACAGAAAACTGTTGATAAAATTGATCTTGTTTGGACATGATCTGAATTTCTGTACCAGGTATAGAAACTAGAACGGGAAGTATACAACCAAGCTAGTCAAATACATGATGCAAAATTAAAACTTGGGCTGCAATCTTCCCAGGCCCTGAAAGGCGTGGGCTATGGTGAGAAATTCAGCAGAATTGCGTGAGATGTCAAGCCATGCCTTTGTCGATGTCTGGAGCAACAAGTTGCATTTTCTAAGTTCAAGACATTGAGACAAGTTTCTTGCTAGTGAATGGTGTGAGTCCTACTAACAGGGATTATTGCTCATTCTCACCCTTACTACTTTTTAATCTCACCTCAATAATTTGCAAGTTCTCTTACTTGCTGGATAGAAACGCGACACCAACAATGCCCAACATGGGAGTCAGAGCAAGTATCTTAATTCCAGTTTTCTTTTCTTTGCACTTCTGACATCCATCTTGGACTCCCAAAGCCAATATCTTAGGGTTTAGCCAATGGACAGTGGTTGCACGCAGTCTGTGTCTATGATGTGGCACATGCTAGCCTCTCTGCACTATCATGGCACATCTCTGGTCCACTCAGCCTGCAACTTGATCCACTCAATGAAGTCACTGTCTCTTTGGTCACAAACACACTCTCTGCTTCCACACAATGGAAGGCCCTGCATGCCTTCAAGTGGTATTTGTATAAACCATGAACCTGCAGAATGCAGGCTGAAATGCTTTTCAATGATATCACCATGCACGTGAACTGTCGTGTGCAAGGCAATGAAGTGCTAATCCTGGTCACAAGCAATGGTGATCATGTCATTGGTCCTTGCAAATTGCAGATAGACATCTGTATGGAGCAGAAGGAAACCCAGGTGGCCTGAAAGAGGCTCTTGAGGACCATAACACTCTCGGGCTAATGCGAGACCTTCTTGGGTGCACAGGGGCATGGGAGTGATTTCCCTCTCCACCTGAACTGCAAGTACTGTGCAAGTCTGTGTCGTATATAATGCTTTCCTTTGTGGGTGACATGGGGATGAGAGGGAAAGGGATCAGTGCTTATACAGCACTTGATCTGTGCTATTATCTGCCACTTGACTGGTGACACATTCATCAGAATAAGGTCCAATGCCACAGTGTCAAAATGAGTCATTACATGGACCTCCTTGTTGGAGTGTTCTATGTCCCACTACATGGAGGAGTATGTCTAGCCTTCATTAGGAAGGGATGTGTATACTGACTGCTAAGGACCTGTTCTGATTCTTTTGCTCCTCACGCAAGTTTGTTGCAAGGTTGACCAACACTTTGCTAGAATATGAATTGATTCAGCCCTTAGTTTTTGTACACAAGAAGGAGCCCTAAACCCAAGTTTACACTTTCACATAAGCAGGATATAGAAATAAAATTTCTGCCTTCTATTGTCTATATTCAGCACAAGTATCAGCAAATTGGTTTACTGTATCAAAATAAACAGCAATTTATTTTTAAATCCACATGAGGAGAAGTGTCGATTAGAAATGCACCTCCTTTTGCCGAATTAAAACACAAGGTGTTTTAAATCCCCGGATGCATCAAAACTCTGATGACCAATTTGCCATTTGTTTTTGGCAGTGTCCCAGCATCTGTCCCCCAACACTAGGTGGGTCTTTGTGGCAGGCTAGGTGGAAAGTGTGATGTTCAGATGTTTCAGAAATCACGGCTAGAATTGGGCTTGGTCCTGACATCTCATAAAATGCTTTCCCTGTGGAACCGAGGAGAGTTCCTATTCCCCACTGTGTTCAGCAGGCAGGAAAGCCACTGGGTAATCTTTCCATATTTATGTAAAGAAGGACTCTTGGGGTTTTGGTAGCTCTCCTTTGTTGGTCAGTGCATTGAGTATAGGAGTTGGGAGGTCATGTTGCAGCAGTATAGGACATTGGTTAGGCCACTTTTGGAATACTGCATTCAATCCTGGTCTCCCTGCTATGGTTTAGATGTTGATAGTTTAGATTAAGTGATCAGAATGTGAGGTTGGGGAGCCAGAACTAGGGGGCATAGGTTTAAGGTGAGAGGGGAAGGATTTAAAAGAGACCTAAGGGGCAACTTTTTCACGTGGAGGGTGGTGCTTGTATGGAATGAGCTGCCAGAAGAAGTGGTAGAGGCTGGTACAATTGCAGCATTTAAAAAGCATTTGGATGGGTATATGAATGAGTTGAACCAAAAGGTCTGTTTCCAGGCTGTACCACACTATAACTGTTTTGTGAACAGTTTGCGCCACAATTTCTTATGTGTACGATCTCTGGTTTGTGCCAAGTTAGCTGACCTTGACAAAGTGGTGGAAGCAGTATAATTGGGAACGGTTTCAGGAAATTCAAACAGGATTCCAAATTGCATTTTCTGTCTTCTTGCCCTGCTGAAAGGTTCAAGCTCATGAACATTGGGAGCAACTAGAAACAGGTTTTGTGATTATTTCTGTTAGATAATAAAGTGCTTTTAGAGTCATACAGCACAGAAACAGACTGTTCGGTCCAACTAGTCCACAAGCGATCGTGTTTCCAAACCAAAGTAGTTCCACTTGTCTGTGTTTAGCCCATATCCCTCCAAAACTTTCCTATCCAAATGTCTTTTAAACGTTGTCACTGTACCTGCATCCACTACTTCCTCTGGCAGTTCATTCTACACACGAGCCACTCTGTTTTTAAAATAAAAGGTTGCCTCTTGCGCCCTTTGCAAAACTTTCTCTTCTCACCTTAAAAAGATGCCCTGTAGTCTTGGATTCACCCCCCTAGGGATAAGATGCTTGCAATTCACCTTATCTATGCCCCTTATGATTTTATGAACCTCTATAAGATCACTCCTCAATCTCCCATGCTCCATTGAAACCAGTCCCAGCCTATCCAGCCTATTTTTATAACTCAAACCCTCCATTTCCAGCGACATCCTGATAAATCTTTTCTGAACCTTCTCCAATTTAATAATATCCTTCCTATAGTAGGGTGACCAGAACTGCACACAGTATTCCAGAAGAGGCCTCACCAACGTCCTGTGCAGCCTCAACATGATGCCCCTATTCTCAAAGGACTGAGCAATGAAGGCAAATGTGGTAAACACTGCCTAAACCATCCTGTCTACATGTGACGCAAATTTCAATGAATTGTGTACCTGACCCTTAGGTGTCTCTGTTCTACATCGCTCTCCAGTGCCCTACCATTAATTGTACAAGTGCTGTCCTTGTTTGGTTTACTAAAATGCAATACCTCACATTTATCCAAATTAAGCTCCATCTGCCACTTCTCAGCCATTGACCCAACTGATCAAGATCCCTTTGTAATCTTCTTCACTGTCCACTATACACCCAATGTTGGTGTCATCTGCAAACTTATGAGACATGCCTCCTATATTCTCATCCAAATCATTGATATAAATGACAAACAAAATTGTACTTGTGCTGTTTGAATGTTGATTCGTATGAAGTGTTAGGGTGTTAACCATAGCTTCAGGTGGAAGGAGAGAGAAGAAAATAAAAGCAAACTTAGAAAGCATGAGGGTTGAGAGTTACCGTTGATGTTCAGTTTAATACTTTAAGCTGGTTCTGTGAAATGAATGATGTTTCTCTTTAAAAATGACAGGAAATAAGTACCTTCTTAATGTAATGACCGATATCAGGTCAGGGGGAGGAGTGTAGAGAAAGCGTGAAATGTAAAGGTAATAATTGGGAGGATAGTAAATCCAAAAGATCAGTCAAATTGCAAATCAGCTATAAGTCTGAGACCAAATACATTTCAAAATCAGGGAAATATAGTCGCTTCCTGAAAAAATTACGAGCAAACCAGCAACTGAACTACTTAAACAATGCTACCATTGTCTGTCACAACAAATCATGCATTTGGATGACTCAATACCCATTTTTGCAAGAGACAATGGCCGCAGAATTCCTGTGGGTTCTACCTGAATACGTTGAGGGGGAATTCTGTGGAAGAAAGAGACCTAGTTACACCGGGCCAACACTGTTCGTAAGCCTCCTGACCACTGCTCAGAGTCAATAGTTCCTGGAGATAGACAGCTGCCAAAATGTGTCTGAATGGATGCCTGCACCTATCTGACAAAGCATGCAGATAAAATGTTGTCCAACCAAAAGGGTTCAAGAAAACAACCAGTTCGTTGAATCCTTCTAAATAACTTCACTTACAGGACCTTACAAATAATAGGTTAATGGGATACTGATCCCTTACAGACTTTAATCCCAACCGAAATTAGACAGTTTTTTGGTACCTACTCGAACAGTTCACATTGGCCTCTAAGCCAGCAATAGCTAGATCAAAAAACTTAAAAACTCATCTACCACAGAAGTATCTCATTGTTATGCTACTGAAGCTCTGATTATACACAAGATATGGTACGCACCTGGGCGATTGCTCACTTACAACATGATCAATAAATTCTGATAAACAGCTCATGAATTTCAGCTGCTAAATTGTTAGCATCAGATTTACAAAACTAACATGGAGACAAAACACTGTCATTACTGGAAATCTGAAATAAAGTCAGAAACTACTGTAAACACTCAGGTCAAACAACATTTACGAAGAGGGAAACAGAGCTCATATTTTGGGTTTATAACCTTTCTGCCAAATGTTTGGATACAATGGGGAGGTGACTGAATTTACACTTTGAAAAAAAGTGTAGGAAGTAGGAGCAACAGCAGTCTGTTCGGCCCTTTGAGCCTGCGCTGCTATTCGACACGATAATGTTTTTAAAAACACTGAGGAAGGCAAAGGAGGAGAGTAAAGAACAAAAAGAAAAGAAACATCTATGTGTAAAGAAAGGGGCATTAAAAAACAAAAAGGAGGGAGGTTCAAGTTAAAATGCGACAAGCAAAGAAACAAAAGATGGGGCTCAAGGAGGTATGAGCAGCTATAGTAGAAACATTACCAACAAAAGTCTCTTAAAGAAATAGGGTCAAGGGTTACTATCCAAAATTGAACACTTTACAGAAGTTCGTACAGCCCCGAATCAAAAACTGAGACACTGTTTCGCACGCTTACACTGGGATTCATTGCCATAGTGTCAGAGGCCGGAGAGAGAAGATTTTATGTGGGATTGACAGCAATTAGGAGAATTAACATGGCAAGTGACTAGAAGCTCAGCTTCATGCTTGTAGGCCAAGTAGAGGTCTTCTGAGAGGTGGTCACTCAGTCTGCATTTGGTTTTGAGGTTGGTTGGCTCGCCGAGCCGATTTCTTGTATCGCAGACGTTTCGTTACCATGCTGGGCAACATCCCCAGTGCAGCATCCGACGAAACGTTGGTGTGTTTTCCCGCCTGGTTTTTAAACTCTGGAGTCCGTTGAGCCGGATTGCCTCACTTCCAGTTTTCCTACGTAGTGGAATGTATATGGGGTCGAGTTCAATGTGTTTATTAATAGCCTGCTTCATGGAGTGCCAGGCTTCTAGGAATTCTCGTGCTTGTCTCTGCCTAGCTTGTCCCAGGATTTTGGTGTTGTCCCAGTCAAAATGGTAGTTCTCCTTGTCCATGTGGATTGAGATGAGTGAGTATTGGACGTGTCTTTGTGTAGTTAGTTGGTGTTCATGTACTCTTGTTGTTAGTTTTCTTCCTGTTTGTCCGATGTAGTGTTTCTCACAGTCTCTGCAGGGGATCTTATAGATGACATTGTCTGCCAAACTACCAGTGTCATTTTCTTATGAGCAAAGATTAAACAGATTGGGACTCTACTCACCGGTGTTTAGAAAATTGAGAGGCGATCTCATTAAAACGTATAGGATTTGTAAGCGGCTTGGGAGGGTAAATATTGAGAGGATGTTTCTCCTCATGGGAGAGCCTAGTACCACAGGGTATAGCCTCAGAATAAAGGGGTGCCAATTTAAGTCTGAGATGAAGAGAATTTCTCCTGAGGGTTGATTGTCTTTGGAATTCCCTGGTACAGAGAGCTGTGGGGACAGGGTCCTTTGTACGTATTTAAGGCAGAGATAAGTAGTTGCTTAATCACTAAGGGAATCGAAGGTTATGGGGAAAATACAGGAAAGTAGAGTGAGAAATGTCACATCAGCTATGATCCTCTTGAATGGCAGAGCGGGTTTGAGGGGCGAAACGGCCTACTCCTGTTCCTATTCTTAAGGTCTTAAGCGTGGGAGATCGGGGATGGCCCTGTCAGCCTCAATATGGAAGGTGTCTTTCTGGTTGACAATAAAGAAGGTAAAGTTGGAGGCAGAGATAGTAGGAACTGCAGATGCTGGAGAATCCGAGACAACAAGGTGCAGGGCTGGATGAACACAGCAGGCCAAGCAGCATCATAGGAGCAGAGAGGCTGACGTTTTGGGCCTAGACCCTTCATCAGAAAAGGGTTGGAGGCAGCCTGCTTGTAAGGTGGCAGGCAAGTGACATTTTGAGTAAATGTTTGGAATAGTGTGTGCGCTTGTTGGCTTGAAGTGTGAGGAAGCTTGCATGTCATGCTATCTATAGCTCGGTCTCTGTAAAGGCCCACTTGAATAAGCCCTGGGGGGAGGGGGGTGGTCGGGCCTGGCAGGGCCTCTGGATCCAAATAGTTGGAAAGAATCTGGTTGCTCAGTCTAACCCTTTTGTTTTCTGCACTTAAAATGTGCACATCTCTGGCAAAGCTCACAGCTTTTGCTCACTCCTAAAAACAGTGAGGAAGGACTGCTCTCATAATCTTGTTAGGTAGTCTTGAAGTGGTCTTCATTGCAATGTATAAAATGGTTTTCTCTTTTCTGTAGCTTCAGAAAGTGACCTGCAGAACAAGCGTCTGAAACTGGATTACGAGGAAATCACTTTATGCCTAAAAGAAGTGACTCTGGTTTGGGAGAAGATGCTCAATGTGCCTGCAAGGTCAACAGTTAAATTTGACATGGAGCATATTCACGCAGCCATGGGCCGAGGTGAGCAGCCAGTATTTATTACTTACCAAATCAACGATGGATGTAATAAGCTCCATTATTTGATCTGAATAATGAGGTTCTTGTTGGAATTATTTAGTGTTGCCAAATTCACATTCATTTTTAACTATTGCATAGAATGTAAAGATGGTGGAATTTTTTTTTTTTGACACAACGCTTCACATTTTTGGAGTTGATGTTCCAGTCGCCCATTACATTGTTCACCGGCCGCATTTCCTGAAACCAAGTTTATTTATACATTGGTGTAGAATGCAAGGCCTGGGTACCAGGAGACAGTAGACGGGCCACCACAGGATGCTCCGACAGCTCACTGAGACCTGTTGTGTCAGTGGGAAAAGAAGTTCCAACTCTTAAAATTCTCTTTGATTGTGGCAAGTGTTATTTCCTTGTTTTTGTTGAAGCATTATATAAAGTTCAACATCGAGCCCACATCAATGCCAGATCCCAGAAATGTACTGACGTTCTTCAAGTCCAGTGAACCTCAGTTGCAAACAACAATAATCCATCTCTTAATGTCTTTACTCGTGTTCACTATACAAAGTTATTTCCATTAATATCTACACTTCTCCTGTAAGCGAAATGCCTATAGTGAATGGAGGTTAGCTTCTGGCAGAATTATATTGCAAATATGAAGAGCTGCCTGTAATGCGGGATGAAACTTAATGGGCTGTACATTACAATATCTCAAGTTCTGCAGAAAACATTTTGAGACATTCCTTTTTGGGAGTTAGGAATGGAACTAACTTTCAGATACTACAGAATATTTGCTTGCTGCACTGATCTGAGCATGCAGGCTTGATTTCTTGTGTTCATGTGTTGATCGTCAAAGCGAGGATTGCCAATGCCAGGGAGCAGAGCTTTTTCTATTTCAGACAACTTTTATCTGCATCAAGTGGTGCCAGCTTAGGCAAAACACAGCCAGATGCAAAACAACACTCCTTCCTAGATTCGTAGAAATTTACAGCATGGAAAGGGGCTATTTGGCCAATCATTTTCCTAGTGGCTGGCAAGTAACCATCCAGCTGCATCCCACATTCTGACTATAAAGTCCACATCCTTGTTGCTTTCAGCACTTCAAGATCATGTCTGAGTAACTTTGAAATGTAATCAGGGTTCCATCTCTGCCACTTACTTGAACAGTGATCCTCACCACTGTCTGGGTCAAAATACTCTTCTCTGAAATCCCTGATGAACCTTCTACTTCTTAATCAGAGGGCATAGATTTGATGTATATACTCCTCATCATGAGAAATTGGCATTTCCATTGCACTTTTATATAGACCCTCATTGTTTTATTTCACTTCAGTTCAGACAGTCCTCAGCCTGTTCAGCCTCAAAGAGAGCAGCCTATTTAGTCTTCTCTCATATAAGATTCTGCAGGCCAGGTAACTTCCTCATTACTCCTCTGCATTCTCTCTGGTGTAGTCACATCTTTCCCGGAGCACAGTGACCAAAGCTGGACACTGTACTTCTGATGTGTTCTAACTAGTATTTTAGACAGGTTCACCCTCCTTCCTTGTATAGTGTGTGTCCTGGTTAATAAAAACAAGTTTCCCATGTGCTCAGAGATAGTAAGAACTGCTGATGCTGGGGTCAGAGACAACACAGTGTGGAGCTGGAGGAACACAGCAGGTCAGGCAGCATCAGAGGAGCAGGAAAACTGAATGTTTCGGGTCGGGACCCTTCTTCGGAAGACTATGCTCTTAGGGATCGTTTCCAATATGCTGCCTTGACCGACTATATCTACCTAAATAGTCAATTCAGGATCTAATGACATGCACTTCAGTGTACCCCTCTTTCTTTACACTTCTCAGTGTCTTACTACTTTGTACACTTGGGAAGCTAAGGGATACAATCTCACACTCCATTCTGCAGCAACTTCCGGAGAGCGCACATGACTGCATTGGTGTTATTATTCTCTGTTTCATAAGCCAACCTTCCAGTAGCGTTTGATTGTAATGCAACTAGTATGCAGTGAGACAGTTGTGGCTTCATTTATTACAAAAATCCCAGCCCTCTGCTTTCATTATGGTCATGGAAGCATGTAGCATAATTAGTGGGTCCTCATTTGGAAATGTGAATGAACTCTGTTTCATCACATCTTCATTTTTCATGGTTTATGGATATTAACTGAGGACATGAGAAGGTTTAATTCTGATGCCATCTGTGGCCAGATAGCTTGTTGAAGCTTGGCACCAAAATGAGATGTGGCAGGGCGGCCAATGCCCATAGAGTTGCTGCAAGTGAGAATTGGCAACGTCCAGTGAGCAAGGGCAACTGTTCTACATACCTGCATCTCGGTGCCAGTGTCACCATATCAACTGCATGAAGGGAGTGGGAGGGATGCACATGATTAGTTTTCTTATCTATTTATATAGCTTTGGGTGAATTGGGTGGGGAACTCCAAGTCAGATATAAAAGTGGTCAAAGCTGCAGTGGAGCAAAATTGTTTTGCATTCTGTTTTTGTTTGACATTGATGTAATTGTCCCTTGTTGTTTCTTATCAGTTTTTTTTTTAAACTCCGATTTCCCTTCTGGCATGACACTCCCACAACATCAGTGGCCTATTTTTGTGCGTTAATGCAACTGTTCACTATTTTCAAAAGATTTGTTGAGAAAACTAATTTCATTCCAAACACTCACTGCACTGATTCACTAACGGCGCATTCTTCCTCGCTGATAATGGCAAACAGGAGGCTAACTTTGTTGCCTTATGTTATGTTACAATTCCAAAAAATAGTTAACTGACTTCTGGCAGATTTTCAAACTTAACAGCAGACTTCTACTTTGCAATCTTACTGCACAAACAATGGCAGCAACAAAAGTGAAAAACCATTGTAGCCAAATAAATTATGGTTGGCCAGTTTGACTGTTTGTTTGTTTATTTTAGCCCCTTCATATGAGCATATACAGATGTTGCAGTTGGTTGGTTTGACTATATAGAACTGGGAAATATCTGGTTTTATTTATTCAAAAGCTGCTTACGCACCAGTATGCCATACAAGCATTTTTCCCTTTAGTCAAAGTTCCTTCCAATCGCAGAGGATTGGGTGAATAGAAGAGTGACAGTGCTGTACAGGAGAGGGAGCAGAGTGTCTGAGGTAATCGCCAGGCAACAGCAGGAGTTGTCCGCTGAAACATTCCACTTTCTTAGGGAAAGGGGACCCTGCAGTGAATGGGTCGTTTAATCAACCGAAGCAAAACTGGGAATGCCCGTAGAAAATTTTGGAATTGACACAGTGTGTTACAAGATGAGAATGAGGGATCCCCAAAAATGCCGTGCACATTTAGAAAAAGTACAGTACTACCATTCACAAATGTAAATCAAGCTTCAACAGTTCCTTCGAGTTGATTTTTGACTGCCGAGCTCAAGAATGTTATTTATTACAACATCCCAATCTCAACAATCTTCCACATAGGCAGGGTATGAACCCAGCCTCGTGAAGCCAGCATGGTGGTTCTCATCTACAATATCTAAAATGTGTCTTTTGTCCTGTATAAGCAATGTATGAAACTAGGTTTAATGTTCTACAGGAGTTGTTAAGTGTTTCATAATTATTATTCCAATATGTATTTAAATTAGGAATTATTTGCCGCAGAGTAACCATCAAATGGACATTTGCTATTGGTCAAATTTACTTAAACTGATTGGGATTTCCTAAAGAAATGTGCTTTTAAAATGTTTTAATATCTTCATTCATAATAGAGGAAGATTCAGAAAGCTAAGGGATTTATTTTGGGAGGGTTCAAATGGCAGAATCTCTTAAAATATGCGTGGATCACTGGAATGCTGCTATAGTAATTACACCATCCGAGAATATTACAGTGCAGAAAGAGGCCGTTTAGTCTATTATGTTGCACTACAGTCTGATTGAGCATAGTGATTTAGAATCATAGAATCCCTACAGTGTGGAAACAAGCCATTGAGCCCAACAAGCCCACACCACCCCTCCTGAAGAGCATCCCACCCCAACCCATTCCCCATAGACATTTCTCATGTCTAACCCACCTAACCTAAACATCCCTGGGCACAATGAGCAATTTAGCATAGCCAATCCACCTAGTCTGCACATCTTTGGACTGTGGGAAGAAACCGGAGCACCCGGAGGAAACCCACACAGACACTGGGAGAATGTGTTAACTCTATACAGTCGCCCGAGGCTGGAATCGAACCCGGGTCCCTGGTGCTGAGGCAGCAGTGCTAACCGCTGAGCCACCGTGCTTCCTATGCATGGATTCAAGAACAACAGCCAACAGCAAAAACTGTTACTTATATGGCATCGTTAGCATAGTAAAATATTCTGTTGCCACATAGGTATGTTATCAAGCAAAGTTTGACACTAAGGCATGCAGATATTTAGACAGGTGGCAAAGAAATGGCCATAAAAGTGTGTTTTAAAGCAGCAAAGAGAAGTTCTAGGACCTGGGGTTTCAGGAGCTGAAGGCGGTGCTGCCAATGGTGAATCTATTAGAATTGGCCAGAGTTGGGTGAGCGCAAATACCACGGGAATGTGTAGGACGGGTGAATATCTGAGATAGGGAGGGGAAAGGTCATGGAGGGTGATTTGAAAACACTTATTTCATGTAGGAGAGTGGGTTGTGGGATTCCTTCTCCTTACTCCTAACTTAAATGTTTCTATCGTTTAATCGATTTTAATTGATCTTAATTGATCTATAAAGCTTGCTTTCTTGTTGCAAGCAGGAATTACCAAAGCTTTGGTAACAATGCGTCACAACATGAGGTGGCAGCACTGCTGAAACTTGCACATATGATTAGTGACTTGATCTATTCGGTGCTTGAACCTGCATGCACAGCAGAATGAAAGGCAATAATGAAATGGGAAAACTGGAACCACAAAGACTGTTTTGGTGCAAACTAACATTGTTCACCACGGCATCATTTAAACGATTACAAATACTAGTTAGATTCCTACAGCCGAGTTTTTTCACAAGTCAAAAATTGAGAAAATCTGAAGAATAAT